TGTGGGAATGTAGATAAAAGACCAATTATGAGATGTTTAGCTAAGATGCTGGCTTAAGAATTGTTTTTAAAAAGTTTATTGCCCTTTCCTTTTTGTAGCACTTGAGATTTGGGCTTGGGCAAGTTACTAGCTCAGCGTAAGGGTAGCAAGTCTTGCTATCGCTTGTTCTGAAAGAGGGGTGGTATTTGGATGGAACGGAATTATGCTTTTTACCTGTAGCACACCATGTCTCTCCTTTTAAAGAAAGCGGTCCTGTGAAAAGTGTTGCTGTAACATGAAACGTGTTGTCACTTCCTATTGTTGCTAATACTGTCTTTGATTCTGCTGTATTTTTTAACATAGAGTTAAAAAGAGATCTTGAGACCTGCTTTACTTCTCTGCAGCTTTTTTTTCGCTTTTTTTAATGCTTAATGCTTTTACTTAGTTCCCCCTAGACTGTTCTTAACTGTTACTGGACTTTAATTGTAGTCTGTCTTTTCCTTAGGTGGATGAAGTTCCTGATGGAGCGGTAAAGCCTCCTACGAATAAAATGCCTATTTTCTTTTTTGGCACCCATGAGACGTAAGTCCTTTATATTTAAGGGTCACATTTCTTTCATTGTAGAATGCTGTGACAAGAAGTTAACAACTTGTCTGAAGGTAGTGTACTTTATAATATTCGGTAGCAGACCAGCTCTTCCTAAATTACTCTCTTTTGACAAGATGTGCTTCTCTAACATTTGCTTAAGCTATCGAAGGCAATGGTAGACCATAACCGTAGCATGTACGCTTTCCTCGTCAGAAGAAAAAAAAAAATCCTACCCACAGTGGTATGATTGATAGGTTTTTCTTTCTTCAGTAATGGACTTTAATTATAGTCCTGTATACCCTCAAAATTCTCAACAATATATTCTCAAAGAAAATGAAATAAGCCTGAGAACAATGAAATAGGCAATTTTGAGAAACAGACAACTAATCATGTATTGGTTATTGTTTTTTTTTTTTTCTGGAGAGGTTTGGGGTTGTGGCTGTTGGGGTTTTATAAGATCTGGAGAGGAAAATGAAGAAGTGCAGTTAGCTTTATACCTGTCAACCTGCAAAATAGCTATCTTTGGGTACTTGCAGCAATGCTAGCGTTTTGCAATCATAGAACATTTGCTTTGAGGGACTGTATTTCTTCCACTCCTAAATTTGATTGTAAATATGCTGGGTTTTATGCAGTTCTGTCTTTTTGAAAATTATCATGTTACTTGATAGCATGACTGGCTGTCCTAGTGTAGATTTCTAAGACTTCAAATTCATTGCTACTTTTGTTGTCTGATTTGTTAAAAAAAAAAAAAAAAAAAAACAAAAAAAACCCCAACAACCTAGAATGGTGTTTTTTAGATACTGCTGTTTTTCTTAATAAAATGACAAATGGTATGTAAGCAGATCAGAGATAGAAGTGTTGTTTATACAAGTGTTCTGTTTCTTGCATTTTCTGGACAGGTCTTGGTTTTTTTCTTCATCTTATTAAATATCTATTGAAATCTCTTTAATCTGGTGCTTCACATCTGTCTTTTAGTAAGCCATGCTAAGACAAGATACATTGCCCCTCTTGAATTAAAGAGCAAGCATCCTCTACTCTCTCTGATGTTACTTGGCTCTATTTTTAAGAAGTGATTTCCCTGTGAAAAAGATTTCTATATGCTTGGCTCATACACCCATGCGTTTCTTTAACTGCTCTCATTTTTCAGTAAATCTTTCAGTGGCTCAGTTTTTGTAGTTTGGGGATTTTTTTTGTGTGTGTAGTTTTGTGGGTTAAAGAGGCGTTCCTGGAATTTGATTCAAGGTTGCGAGGTTTGAATCTTGTCCCTTTCTTTAAATGATAATTTTAAACGATGCAGCAGGTTACCTTTTTTCTTAATTTTTTTTTTTTCCCCAGCTGAATTTTTTTTTTTTGGCAGCTGAAAACACAGTATTGCTTTGATCCTGCCCTTGGTAATATCTGTCATTCTGGATTGTACTGGGGTTTTGTGCAGTTGTAAGTAAGTTCAGGGACACAGATTGACTATAAGGGAGACAGAAAGAACTCTTTATCTAAAGATTTAAGAACATGTTTGCAAATTTTGAGAAGCATCATGGCCAATTTTAAATTTAGCTTAGGCTCCTAAGACATGCTGGGGTTTGGAAGTTACCTTTTTTGGTAGTTTACATGGGTAAATTTGAAATGTCAATTCCTCATTCCTTGATATTCTTACAAAATAAAGCCTTACTGTGATCTGGGTTTCGTTAGGCTGTGGGTTCAGGTTTACTACATTTCAGAGATCCATACAATAGAAGATAAACTTCTTATCTCTGTTTCGTACACATTGCAAAGTACAGGATGTTCCATGACCCAGCTGTCTTGTGGCATTTGTTCTTTAAGCGTGTCACTTACATTGTGCTCCTTAGGATGGTAACAGGTGAAACTTCCATGCTTCTTGATCTTGCTTACTGTTGCTTTCAGCAGATACCTGTAAGTAACAATAGGAAGGCGCAGATCAGGTAAAAAAGGAGAATGCTGTTCCATGGCAAGTAATTTTGTTTAGGTTTGCAGCTGTAAATAGTGGTGTAGTGATCCATCAGGAATTAGGTAGAGCTAACAATTTTCTCTACTTTTTAATGGGAATTAAAATAAATTTGGTAAACTTGATCTACGCTGTTCTTCTCACAGTTCAAGTTACTCACCTGTGCCAAGTTAGACACTACGTACCTTCAGCACATTAGTAGTCTGTACGTGTACAGCCTATCATGCTGTAAGTAGCAGCAACTCTAAAAATCCAGGTAGCCAGTTCAATCATGCTAAAAAATCCTTCTGAATAAAGGCTGACATTTTCTAGATGTGTGGACAGTTACAGTAGGAAAGGAGGAGCTATGGGGAAAAACAAAAACAAGACTTCTTACTTGGTTTTTAGGAATAATATTAATTCAGTTTTGCAGATTCCTATAAACAAGTATAAACTTCAATTGCTATTGTTGATTTTTCTCTAAGTTTTGGTAAAACACAACTATATGTTTTGCTACCCGTGTGCAGTGAACAGCTATGTGCTTCTTAAAATATGCTTTGGGAATTTGATTGAGGTTTGTTCTGTTTATTTCCGTACTGTCATAATGCAGCAACAGTACCCTTTCCTAAAAGAGACTAATAAAATAGATACTATTTTAATAAAAGTTTTATTTGGATCTGTTGTGCCAGTCAATCACATCAGTGCAAATTTTGGTTAGTTACAGACAAACAGGTCACACTGAACTCTAGTTTCTGGACCCTATATGTTGGGGTAATCTCTCTTAATTTTGGGGTTTTTTTGGGGGATTTAACTACAGCAACCCTGTAAACTACGTGATGTTTTCACAGTAGATGGTTCCTGGTGTTTTTCAAAGCCTGAGCAATATGGGTAGAGGCTTACAGACCTTGGAAAAATGCTTTCCTTCAGGGGATAGGGAAGAAAGGAGGCAATGTTTCCCGTTTTCATCCCACCCAGTTTCTGTTTGTTTCCTTCCCCATCCTTTTGGTCTGGTTAAGTAGGCTTTGCAGGTGCATGTTTCCCACACTGGCTGAATCCTCTCTAACCATGTCTTGCAAAGAGGTGGGTGATTTGCAGTCTAATGTGTCACAGTGGCTTCCTTAATACTTCATATGCATGGGTGAGTGTTTTACTGCTGGAGTAGGAAATGCTTAAGCTTTATAGATGATGATATGTTCTTTTTTTTTTGTTTACTAGGGTGTAAGTCTCAAGTAGCGCTTTTTAAAGATGATGAAGAAAACAGGGCATTGGAGCTTAGAAGTATCTATTTAACTTTTCCATGAGCCGATACTTTAGAAAGCAAGTATCTGCAACTTTTGAAATAGTTGGATCTAACATATATACAATCAGACAAAGCTGTGTGTAGGCACAGAGCAAAAATAAGAATGTACCGCCAAAGTGTTGTCTTTTTCTGTTAGCAGCATATGGATTGCCACAGTGAAATCCTAACTTGCCAGGTCATGGAAGTAGAGCAGGGATTAAACAGTTTTTGATGTTGTTCAGCATAAACCAGAATATTGGTTCTCAGTAAGACCTTACCTTGTTTTTCTGAGTCTAGCTTAGAGAAGTTAGTAGCGTGGGTACTGTGACTTCGACATATAAGAAAAGCTACTAGGCTAAAAGCTTTAGTTACACAGCTTACAGTAGGGGTAGTGCTATGCAGGAGCGTTCTTTGTCTGACAAAGATGTGCAGGCAGTGTTAAGACCTCTACTACAAGAGTAGCTTAAACAAAAATCAAATTTTTTAAATGTTTACTTCACAAAAGAAGATTGGGGGAGAAACTTAAAATAAGGAACAGTTTTTAAAGTTTTTATTGGTTAAGTTGTGTAAATCAAGTGATGAGGTCCTGTTGTCACACACTGAAAAATACTGAATTAATGCTGAATTACATAGCGTACTTACAAAGATGTGGCAAGTCAATGTACTTAAGTGTTGCTTTTTTGTGTCCAGTACACTAAAAATTATTCTTAAGTTTTCTGTTTTAACTGGATTATTTTTAATTTAATAACTTTGAAAGATTTTCTTTGTTAGCTTGAAGCCATTTCTTCTTTAAATTGTTCTCTCGCCTTACATTGTCTGGATTCACGGATTCTTTATTCTTAACATTTAAGCCTGATTTTTTTCCTAAGGAAACAATTGCTCTTTCTGTTTGTTTACCAGATACTCTGTTTTTAATTGTTCTGGGTCACAGCAGTTGGTGGTCCTATCAACTGCAATCTCAAGATGCAGCATCAGCTGTTTCTTGCTCAGATGCTCAACACCCTGGGAAGGAGGGGGTCCATATATGTGGTGGCAGTAATGGAAAACTTGGGCTGTTGAAGGCAAAAGTTGAGAAAACTAAAGACGCTTATGTAGCAGAACTAGTTGTTGCAGTAGTAATGAATTTCGTATCTTAATAACATTAGGTGCTTACTTCTCCTTTGAAAAAACTAACCATTTAAAACGTGGAATTTTGTTCTTTTTGTTCTTTCTCTTCTTAAGGGCATTTTTGGGACCAAAGGACATATTCCCTTACTCTGAAAATAAAGATAAATACGGCAAACCAAATAAAAGAAAAGGTTTTAATGAAGGGTTGTGGGAAATCGACAACAATCCCAAAGTGAAGTTCTCTCATCAGCAGGTAAGTTACGCGAAGTCTGCAAATCTTTGTTGCTGTACTGTTGGGGGGGTGGGGTGGGGAAGGCAGTGAGTATTTCCCTGCAGTAGGGTAATGAATTATTGTTGGCATTCAACTGCAGGTTGGACCAATTTTTTTTTTTTTAAATTTTATTTTTAATTGATCTCTGGTATTAATAGCATAAGAGATGGGGGGTGTTGTTTAACTGGAGATATCTGCTTATTATGGTAAGCTCATGAGGGATCATGTTGAGAGTTTCAGAGTCCAAGGCTAAGTCTAACACTTTTTACAGTACACATCAAGTTTTATTTATAACTATATATATACTTACTTGTTTATTCTCAGAGTGACTGAGAATCCAGAAAACTACCTATTTTCAAGCATAGTCACACAGATTCTCAGTCACTCTACTTCTTTCTGTCCTCTAAACACAAGTGCTTTTTTCCACAAATATCCTTGTAAGATTTCAGTACATGCTTTCTTAGCGTATTTTCCTTCTAGTGGTTGGAAGCAATGTGATGCTTGCCTTTTTCCTCCCAACTGTCACATGATTTGCTTGATTCAGTTTTTGTCCATCAGTAGTGCCTCGTTTCTTGCCCTCTTGGTAAATCTTCGAAGCTTAAACTGGAGCTATGCAGTGCTACCCATAAAAAGACCCAAATTTAATCTGAAGACAAAGAAATTGTCTTGCTCATTTTGTCTTTGCCTACCTGCTCTGAACATCCTGTAGCCTCTTGGTTTTGCTATGTACACTGGACACTGATCACATACTGGGGCCTCCAGGCAATGCTGCAGTAACAATAAAAAGAATTGGTATCTTTTGGTATTACTTGCTCTTTCACAACATGCCAGATTGCCATTTCAGCACCAGTTAATCCCTGCTGCATAAGATATCCCAAGTTACTGTGTTTCTAGTTTGAAGGAGAATGTGGATAAAGAGTTAAGGAGTTTCTGATGTAGATGTACTCCAGATGTACACTTTTTCTGCTCCAGGATATGGAAAGATGCTAATCTCATCACAGTGGGAAGGGCTGTATTAATAAGGGACAGATTCTTTCTCCCACTATAAAATACGAGTCGGTATACCTTGTCACTCTTCTTTGTGACAGTTCAGGAGAGATGCTCTGTGGATGGCTGAGGCAGTTGTGAACCGTACCTGAGTTGTATGTTACCAGTCATTCTAACATGGTGAAAATCTGGGTATAAACAATCAACAGTAACTAGCTTGTCTAATATTTTGTTTCACAGCAGGAAAAACTTCAATTAAGCAGTGCTCTGGGTTGTTTTTGTTGCATCTCAGACACTTGGAAATACATTTCCAATTGGAAGTACATAAAACATGCTGCTGAGAGATGCACACAGACTGCGGGGTAGTCCTTTACCCCTTTTGAGTTTTATTCAGATATTTCAGCTTTGATGATTGCTCTTTCACAGGCTCTTTTCTGTGAATTCATCAAGTTCTGTCTAGCGCCATTGGGTTGTTCTTTGCCATTTTTTCCCCACTGTTTATTAAGGAAAAAAAATAAAGGTTTTCTTTCCACAAGTCATATTTAAAATCTGTTCCTATAAGGGAGCCTTAAAATTACTGGAAGAGGAATCTTTTCTTAGTAGGGATGTTTTAATTGGAGTACTATGTCCAGTTCTGGGCTATACAGTACAAGAGAGATGTGAACATAGTGGAGAGAGAGTCCCACAAAGGGCCATGAAGATGATGGACTGGAGCATCTCTGCTGTGAGGAAAGGCTGAGAGAGCTGGGACTGTTCAGCCCTAGGGGCTCAGAGGTGATCTCATCAATGTATAGAAATAACCTGAAGTGAGGGTGCCAAGAGACAGAGCCAGGCTTTTTGCAGTGACAATAACAGGACCGGAGGCAATGGGCATCAACATAGGAGGTTCCTTCTGAACATCAGGATGCACTTTTTCACTGTGATGACTGAGCACTGGCACAGGTTGCCCAGGGACGTTGTGGAGTCTCCATCCTTGGAGATATTCAAGAGCCATCTGGACATGGTCCTGGTCAGCTGGCTCTAGGTGGCCCTGCTTGAGCAGGAGGGTTGGGGCAGATTGAGTGACAGAATGAACAAAGTAATGCAGTAGACTTGTGCAAATTTTCTTCTGAATTTTCACCTTAACTTTAGAAAACCTTTATTTTCATAGCCTTTTCTTTCTATACTGTGCCATGCATTGTTAAAAGCAAGTTTTATTTGGAGCAAATCAAGCCCTTAGGATTTAGCCAGCTCTTGTTTTCGCTTGTGAGCAGTTCTTGTTGGTGCTAAAGGAGTACATCTGCAAATGGCTGACTAGATTTGACATTCTGTAAAGTAAATCAGGGTGTAAAACAGGCAGAGCGAGTGTTACCTGAACTGAAATAAAACTGCCAGAAATGGTCTACTTCAGGCGTAGTTTCTTTGGCCATCTTTGATGTCAGGTCAATCAGTCATTAATCTTCCATGTTTTTTCACGAAGCACTACCTTTTGGGTTTAATTCTTAGAATTGAAATATTATGTCACTCTTCTGCCAAAGATTATAGATAAGATGGAGTAACATTCCACTTTTCCAAGAATGAGAAAATTGTCCTGTGATGTTTGTTTTTTGTTTTGGTTTTATCTGTGTTGTGGTTTAACTCCAATCAGCAGCTGAGCACCACACAGCTGCTCGCTCGCCCTTCCCCTGCCCCCAGTGGGATGGGGGAGAGAATCAGGGGGGGAAAGCAAACAAACAAACAAACTGTGGGTTGAGATAAAGACAGCTTAGTAGGACAGCAGAGGAAGAGAAAATAATTACAGTAATAATAACAATAATGATGAAAGAATATACAAAACAAGTGATGCACAGTGCAGTTGCTCACCACCTGCTGACCGATCCCCAGCCCATCCCCAAGCAGCAATCACTGCCCCCGGCCAGCTCCCCCCAGTTTATATACTGAGCATGACATCATACGGTATGGAACAGCCCTTGGGCCAGTCTGGGCCAGCTGTCCTGGCTGTGTCCCCTCCCAGCTTCTTGTGCACCTGGCAGAGCATGGGAAGCTGAAAAGTCCTTGACCAGTGTAAGCACTGCTCAGCAACACCTAAAACATCAGTGTGTTGTCAACATTATTCTCACCCTAAATCCAAAACACAGCACTATACCAGCTACTAGGAAGAAAATTAACTCTATCCCAGCCAAAACCAGGACAACTTGTTTCAGCTTATGTGCTGAAGTGAGCCTTAATTCTTCAGTACTTTGCAGGGTAACATGGTTCACAGCGATGAGACTTCGGAGGTACATTATTGCATGTTCTTGTTGGTTCCCTTGGCATTTGACTATGTTGCAGCTTTCCTCTTCATGAGGATGTTGCCTTAGCATCCTATTCTCAAAGCTGGAGAAATGAGTGCGTACAGTTTCTGCCTCCTAGTAATACGGGAACGATGTGTATCTGCTTGCTAACAGTCTCTGTGGCTGTCTTAATTAACAGCTAAGGGTTTTTTGTGGGGTAGGGCTTCTGGATGTTTTAGTCAGGGAAGGAAAGGAAGTTTAAGAGTGCTTGATGTAGATACTTAGTTTTACTGGGAGTTTATGGGGAAGCTTGTACCTGTTTTAAGGGTAGCAGAGTGGTTGAAATTGGCTTCTGAGGCCCTGCATTCCCATCTTTGCCAAAGAGGTGTATAGCACAGGCAACAAAACATTCACGTCAGGGAATTTGGCACAATTTAGCCAATTCACATAAGCTTGTAGTTACTGATTCTGATAATGAGAAACAAAGACAGACAGACACTTGGAGAAACATGCCTCAGCTTCCCTCCAGCCCACTCTGCTCCCCCCTCGCTGGTCTCCAGTCCCGTCACCACACATCACAGTCAGGCCCTTGGGCGAGGCGATGGCAACTCAGGAGACTGAGGCCAGTGTGTAGTGGTTACTCTGCTTTTGCTGTTCCTCTCCACTTACTCAGCGGCTCAGGCGTGGGCTCCTCCGTGGGCCGCAGTCCCCTCAGAGCTGTGCCTTCTGCCCCTACTCGGGCAACCTCTCTGGGCTGGAGCCTGGCTTGGGCGGCTCCTCATGTGCCTCCTCTTCCCAGCATGCCTCCTGCCCTGGCATCTCTTTTGCCTCTGCATCCATTATGCCCTGCCCAGGCGGCTTCTCTGTGCGTCAGCGTCCCCCTTTGGCAGCGTCTCTCCAGCCCTTCTCGGGCAGCTGCTCTTCTCTTCAGCGACTCCCGTGGTTGTTTTGGCCAGGCGCCACGCGCTCTCCGGTGGGCGCAGTTGGGTGTGTGGTGGTGGGTCAGCTCGCTGGCTGTGGAGCCAGCTGGGGCTGGTGGTGCCCGGCGTGGGGCAGTCCTGTACCACGTTCCACACAGGTCGCTGGCAGCCAGCACCTGCCAGCTGTTTCCTCGGTGCGGTGTGTGAGAGAAGGTGAGCGCAGGCAGCGAACCATCTTGGAAGTGAAGGCAAGTAGTTATGAATACTGAGAGGAAAGGTAACATAAGTGTACAGATAGGCGAAGACACGATTTTCCCAGCAACGTTTTAAAGTAGAATAGTGTATTACGGCCTATTAATACGTTGAAGTATTCAGTACATGTTAGCGAATGACCCGATTTTTTTAGCTGAGGTCTTGGAGACGAGTGAATGTGTATTAAGATATTCCTTGATCTCTATGTTTGATCTACATACAATTCTTTGATTTTTAAAAAAGATTTTTAGACTTGAGTGAAGCACAGTTACTGGACAGTAGCAGGGAAAGCAGTTTAGTTGTCAGAGCCTAAAAACTCAGGGTGAATGGGTAATTTTGTGTTTGGCTGCACAGCAGGTAAGGTCAGAGGCGGGTGGGTAATAACATGGAGATGTTGGCAAAATCAAGCTTTTATTCTGGATACAAGATGATATTAAAGTGACAGACTTGTCAGCTATTCATATAGAGGGATTCACTCACAATTTTTTCTTTCTGTCTTTTCACTGGGCATATTTTGTCTTGGTAAGTCGTTCTGAGAGCCACGTTTTCTGTTTAACTGCCAGAACTGGCTGGAATGTTCTGAAAGCAGTATTTATACTTTGCAGATGTTGCTTGTAACTGCATGTAAAGGAGGTGGAGGGCAGAAGGGAGCATGTGGCTTGGGCTTAAATGCAAAACCACTTCCTCAGTGGGGGGGGGGGGGAAATAAAAGAGGCGGGGCCAGCTTTGTTTGAAGTAGCTAATATTTAAGACTGAGAATGCTATCCACAATGTAATGGAATAAAAAAAGAGTAATTTTGGGTTTACCTCTCTTCTTCCATGTTTTTAAATTTAATTCTTTAGCTTTTATTGTAATTTTTTTTCTGCTCATGTTTTCGGGACCAGGTAGTTGGCTTACTTAAGATTCATAGCTTACTTAAAAATGCACTTCTTGGCAGGAGCATCACAACTTGCATTTGACCAAAATCAACTTTTTTTTTTCAATTATATGTAAGAAAAACCTTACATTGCAGTATTTTTAGTATGAAAATAACTTCTTACAGCATTACAGCTTAGAAGTTTGATAATGAAAATGCAATTTAAACTGGAAAGTGTAGAAATGAATGAGATAAGATACATCTTAATATTCTTGTAGTTCTAATAAGAGGTTCCTTAGGACGATGCTTTCTTCAGTAATGTACAGGTGGGAGAACATGTCTCAGTATTGTTATTCTGTAGTTCAGGAAGGGATTTAGATCTCATTTTTGATGTTTTTATATTGAAGTCCCCTCCAGCTGTTAACACTCCTATCAAAGAAACTGTTCAAGAAAGCAGTCAGGAGCCTGCTGAGGGGAGTGAAGAAAAAGCAGGAGCCAAAAGAAGAAAGCCGCCTGTCCCAAAAGTAAGTGTCTGAATTCGTATTTTGTTCTACCAGAAACATTTTTAAGTCAAAACCGTATTGCCAGGTTTTTACTTAAGTACTTTAAACTAACAGTGTTTTACTGTTGTAGCTGCCTTGCCTTTGCTTCTTTTCAGACATACATATAGGAATATTCTTCTCCTTCTGTATTCCTTTTAAGGTGCTGTACGTGGTTTTGAAAATCAGTTTCTTTACTAGTCTATATTTATAAATCATAATACACTTAAACTAAATTCATAAATCATAATACACTTAAACTAAATTCATACAGTACTTCCTAGGCAAGAGAAGGTGGAAATCATCACCAAGATTTAGCTTTAAGTTTCCCTTTCTGTTTTTGAAGACTTTTTAATATCATGGCAGGTATGACCATCTCTTTCAATTATGACAGTTTTTTGTTGAAAAGCTTAACAGAGCATTAGGTTCTGTCTGGGCTGAAAGGGTTCTTCAGTGTATTTGCCTGAACAGATTATAAGAATCAGTTTGTATTAGGCCATAATAGACTAATTAGGATATAAATGGATGTAAAGTATTTCATAGCTGTATGAATTGAACTCTGAGTCAGGAATGTATCTGTGAGTGATTGGTATACAGTAGTTCATGTAGACAGAGTTTAGCTTCTTTGCCTTTTAAATGTGTGCATACCTTAGAATCCTTCTGAAAAAAGATTGTGTTCTCTTTAAATATATTGTATTCATACTAAGAAAATGCATTTCTGTCTGAAACATCTTTGGTTCAGCTTCCTGGTGCTGTACATAGTTCATACTGTAAGAGGTGAACCTTCCTAGCTTACTGTACACTTAATGATATTAGTGTAGCACACTGCTTTGTACTTTCTCTGTCCTTGAATGTTTTGTTTTGTTCATGTGGGATTATTTTTCATATGGCATGGGAGAGATGTTGTGTGTCATCTCTTCTCAGTTTGTTTAAGGAGAATAGAATCCTAAAATGACAAAAATTGTGATGCAGATGGGATTGATACATTTATAGTATCTCATTTATTTTTAACTCATTTCTGGAAATTACTACTGTACAGGATGAGCAGTGCCCTTAAACTGAGCGTCAAACTATTTTGAATAGACTTGCCTTAATTGTGACTGTTTTCCTTTTGATTATTTGCCAAGATTTAATGTAGTTTTTCTGTAGGAGTAGCTGGCTGTCCTTTAGCATTGATTCATAGTTGCAGCTGAAGAATTTGCAATGTGTCAAACACATAGTGGATGTTCCTCATGTAGGATTGGTGTCTACTAGCTGTAATAACTTGTTTTTTCAAGAGGGGAAAAAAAGACCTTTGATGGGGGTGGGGGGGGAATAGTGTACTGGTAGTACACTGATAGATGATGTCAAGAGTTGTTTTGATGAGTTGGAGACTGTGGAGTTATTGATGGGTTATTTCTCCCAGCTTCTTACTGGATGGATTGTTCCTTAGTTTAGTACCTCCACTTGTGGAAGGTGAGTGTGATTTGAGTTGTGTCAGCTATACTTCAGGACCACTCTTTAATATGTAATTTCCTGGTAGTATTAGTAAACCAGTGCTGTTCTTACTTCTTGCCCATGCACACTGCTGAGAAAAGCATTTGTTCCCCAGCATTTGCTACTGCAAGGGGAAAACTTTTAAACTGGACTGGTTCAACAGTTTGCTTCACTGTGAATTTACGCAGCAAGCAACATGTGCTAGTGGGGGTGGCAATGACTTAAGCTTCATGTTTCTCCTGGAAAGTGTTTTCAGGCTGTCCTGACCTGGCACTGTGAAAGAGAAACAGGAAGACATAAAAGCTGTTGAAGCACAAAGATGGAATGGAAGGTCCTGAACAGATCCTTTTACGTAGATTTATGTGATTAGCCTCAATCAGTTACAGTTCAAGGCAAAATATGGAGCAGATTTACTCCTTTTCTTTTGATACTAATGTAGCTGTAACATTCTTTCCATTAGTTGTACTCTGGTTTCGTGTGGTTTTAGTGGACCAGTGATTCTTCTGTTTTAAAGTTGTAATCTGTAAAAAGACTCAGTGATATTACAGGTCTTCAAGTAATTAGAAATATTGCATGATAGCCTTGTGCCTGCGTTGCTTTATTCAATGTTGAAATTTTAACAACTGTAGCTACTTTAAAAGCAAATTTCACAAAAGGTGGCTTGCAAGTGGGACAAGGCAATAGTATTAAAGCTGAGAGAACGAAGATCTAAAAAACATGCACATACATAGGCTGCAAGGAAATGTTGATTATTTTCAAGTAAACTATTACAAACTCTTGATTTTTCAAGTCTTAACTGCTCACCTAAAACAAAAACCTGTGATTTAAAGTTTAAAAAAAGCCCAGCAAAACAGGAAAAAAGGCATAGATTAGATGACACCAATTATCACTAATTACTATCTCACACAGCATGTTGTGGTCTGTTTACCACATTAAGTCTTTGTTTACTAGAGTGATACTCTTTGCTAAATGTGGTCTGTGACTCTGATATCCATCTGTATGTATAGATAAACAGTGATCCAAATGAATCTTGGCATGAACACTTAGAAGTACTCATGTAATGGTGATACGGTGAAAAAGTGTAGTGATGTTATCATGAACACAAAGTGGAATTGAAATTCCACCATAGCACATTGCTGTGTTTTGACCTGTTCTGACAACTATCTGCAGTCGTGTACTGGAGAAAGTGGTCCTGCCGTAGTCTTTTCATGTGTACCTAAGAAACAAGTGTATCTACAGACTTAAACTAAAGTGAAAAGCAGCCTGATGGTTATTAGTGTGTTCTCTTTTCACTATGAAATACTTTTTTAATGCATTTTTTTTTTACTCTGTTGACTGCCTTTGCAGTTATCCCCTAAAGGGGATAATAACTTACCTACAGAAGCTGAAACAGAAGAAAAGGAGATGGATACTTCAAAGGAAGATGACCTACCTTCTGAAAAAAACAGTAAAGAAGTATGTGAAAGCTTTTTCAATGTACCAGAGAACATTTTAATATTATGTCGATTGATGTAAATCTGTTACTGAGTACTAAGAAGCTACAGTTACTAGTACTGTGGCAGTCTCAGTAGCTGTTTAATTATATAAAACTTCCTATGTGTTCACTCATGTTTATATTGAAGCTTTCGTCAGAGAGGAAACTTTGTCTGGCTTGTCTCCAAGTTCAATTAAAACAGGTGGAACAGTGTGATTTTTATCACGTACTCTGTATTGCAAATGTACTTATTTAAAGGACTAAATGAAGAGTTCAGACAGACTACAACATGACTACATATGTTTATCTGAAACAGAATATTATTTAGTACTTATTTTATTTCTTATCTTGCAGAAAAAAATCCTGATTACCAGATAATCAGGATTTTCATAATTTAAAAGCAGGAGGTGTCTTCATATATATTACGGGATTCTTGTCTAAATTATGTGCCAGAGGTTTCAGTTGTGGAAAAAACTTAGAATAATTTAAAATATATCTTTGTTTTGTTAAGACTCTTAGCACCATTTTTAATCTTCACAGGATGTGGTGAAAACAAATGATGCTTCTATTCCTAAAGTTGCTAGAAGAGGAAGAAAAAGAAAGGTAACAATATGTTTAATTACTTCACCTTACTGGAGTTTTTGGGTGTGACGACACTGGATCTTATTTTCTTTAATGACAGATTATGCATAAAGTTGAAGTGCTTGACACCCTATTCCCCACTTTCAAGTGGCTGAAAGATTTGTGGGAACGAAAGTTTTCCCAGAGGGTACAAGACAAAACTCAATTCGGTTTGAACTTAGTGTAGAGTAGGGAGTTCTTTTCCCAAACAGTCCATTGCAAATAAGAAACACTAAGATATAAACTGTTGCTAGACCTCTAATAAAATTGTCTCTTTTGAAGCTCAGAAAATTTTTTAACATCTTCATCACACTGAACTAACACCTTTTCACGAGGTTGTGATTTTGTGGTCTCTTCAACCTGGGAAAAAATTGAATTACTTTGAAAGAGGCAGTCCCAGCTGCTTGCTCAGCATGCTCCAGCCTTAATGTTCATGTGGTCACACAGCAAACCAGATCAGGGCACTGACCCAATTAAAAACTAGATTAAAGTGGGGCAAAGTTTAATTTTAAGTTGAAGCCATTTAACTTGCAGCATTAGTGCTGACAGCAGGGATGGGATGAGTGCGAAGTAACTGACCTTAGTGTGTTTGTCACAGATAAGTAGAGTGCTGAGTATTGTTTGCTTCACACAAAAGAAAGATATATGTTTGGATGCTCTTACAAAAATGACTTGAATATTTAAAAAATATAACTTAAAGAATACCTTATTTAAAAAAAAAAGAAGTAAATTTTATAAAAATAAACCTAAAATAAAATTCAAAGAAAGCTTCTACTCTGAAACAGCAAGAAGTTGAAAGCATGTCTATGACAACGCATACATGTGATTTTAGCTTGTAAATGGGCACAGATGACACACACACACACAAAAAAAGGCCTCATTCGTTACTTTTTCAAAAAGTACTCAACTCCTATGGCTTGGTGGTTTTTCTTTTTTTTTCTTTTTTCTTTGAGGTGGGTTTTTTTGGCATCATAAGGCACTGCAGGCCTTAGAACTGATTTCGTCTGTCACATTTACTAGCTTCAGCTGACAGACTTGTGTTTGGCACATGCTGCATGTTGCAGGGGATTTAACCAGAAATTTGCATTACTACAGGCCATTGCTGAACAGAAAAACATAATATTTCAAGGGATGTGGTGTGTGCTTGCAGGTCAGAAAAGAGGGTTGGCTATGCAGTTAAATGACTTTGAATGCATTGCTTATTTGCCTTAAGAAACATGGTGTTTTCCTGGGATTGTAAAAGAGCATTCTAAGAGGTATTTTTCTGTTTCCATTTAAACAGTCTTTTTGAAAAAGACTGATGGAAAGCACAGTTAATATAGGAGATGCACCTCTACTCTGTTCTAGATTTAAGTTTGTCTGTTCTTCAAAATTGTCTTTTATCATAGGTGCTTACAAACAATATTAAGATAAATATGTATTTGCCCATAACTTTTCTGTTGCTGCTAGCTGATGCTCCTGTATCCAGGACGCTAAACTCTGTGAATTTGGGATTTTTCTCAATTCTTTTTATCTGTATGTATGGATATGTAATGTCTCTGCAGGGAGATATGTATCCTTTCATCAAGATCTTCTCTTGTCATAAGTTCTATCTGTCTTTACAACCTAACCCCCGCAAAATGACTAGGTAGATGAAGGTCATTATGTCCAGTTAGTGCAGGTCAACGTGCAATTTTTCATTGCAAATAATTGGCTATAGAGCTAGAAGCAGGTGTTTTTCTGAATAGTTCCATCTACTGGCTCAATACTTTGATGCAATTAGGGGAGATGATCACATCTAAAAGAAGAGTATTTATATAGGGGGGAAAAATGAATTTTCCTGCTTACAACTGGTTTTTGGCATGCTGTTGTGGTGACCTTAAACATACTTAAAAATAATCTTTTTCCTTTGTTGTGCCAAGATAGTGTATTGTTCTGAAGATGAATGGGCTGGTTGAAATGATATGAAACATTGCTGTATCAGGTAGTGATGGTATGGAGAGGGTGAAATTAGTGATATTTAAATATAATATGTTACTAAATTTGGAAACTTTTTTTCATGTGTAGAAGCAATAGCGTAATAATGCATTTCTAGAAGTTTAAAACTGTTGTTTGAGAAAGTAAGAGAGAAATTGGTGCCCTGTGTTTTTTCACTTGTGAAATTCATTCTTTAAATTAGGCTGAAAAACAAGCTGAGGCTGAGGACACAGCAGCAGTGGCAACAGCAGCAGTGGCAGCGGCAGTGGCAGCAGCAGTGGCAGCAGCAGCTCCTGTGCACGGCACAGGGGCAAACACCAGCAGTGCCAGCGGCAGTGGCAGCAGCAGTGGCAGCAGCAGCTCCTGTGCCAGTGTCTCCAAAAGTAAGCCCTAAAAGAGGAAGACCAGCAGGTAACTTTTAAAAGAAAGATGTAAATTTTTTCATCAAAGAAATACATTAGCAGAATTAGTCAGGGAGCTGTCTCTTTCCCCTAAAGTACTACAGAGTATTTTCTCATGCTAAAGGCAGTCTTTGCTAATAGATTGTAATGAGAAAACACCTCATCTCAAACTGAAGAATTTAGGACGTAAATGGATTTAAATTGTTAGCATTAATACTCAGTCCTCTAAACAAGACTCATTGTTTTTTGGGTACAAGTATTGCCTTTAGAAAAGCCTTCTTCATAGAAGGCTGCTAAATTATAGATGTACAATAAGAGCTCTTCTTGCATTGTTGCTCCATAAAGGTTTATATTTATTGAAGGTCTGTAAAATACTTCAATTGTGTTTAGAATATCCATAAAACACAAGGAAGAGAACTGCAGGGACACAAAACCTGTAGGTGGAGCTCAGAGGACAGTAAAAACAAACAGAGAGCTGGAGAGACTTGTTTAAAAAGGTATTTAAGGCAGTCTGTGTAGATTGATAGACAAATAAAAAGAAGATGTAACTGCTTTTTTGTAAATGTATAATTAGAACCATTTGGTGATAATTCTGCAGTGCTTGTTTCTTTCGAAGTAGCAATCATCTAATTCATAGGAATTTTTGTGGTAATCTTGCAGATATTATTGAATTGATCATTAACCACTACATCAGAAAACAGTTCTTGCAGCAGTTATGTACATTGTACAAGCATCTAGTCTGGGAAGCATAATTTTCTCATCTGTTTCTGCTGACAATATGAAAATAACTTTTAGAAAGTACAACCAGTTAACTAGACTTAATTACTTTTGCCTTGGAAGCTGTGAGGAAATTACATATTATTTGAGCTCCCCTCCCCCTCTCTCCCTTTAATTACATGTGCTAAATGTGCATTTTTAATATTTGTATGTGTTTTTATCTTTACAATTTTTTGTTTGTTTGTTTTTACTAACTACTGTCTGTAAGAGCAGGAAAGGATCTGTAAGAGATGCTTTCACCCCCTGTATGAAATGCCTTTTTATAAGATGTACTATGCAGCCTTTCCTGGTGTTGATATGATGTATGCATGCTGACACCAACAGGAGTTTAAACACTGAGTATTAGGTCGCCTAACCACATGTTCACTTTGGTATTGGACGAGCACTTGAAGGCTGTAAGTGCCAGGAAGTCAGACGCACTATTGGTCTTATTCCTAACAATGTGGTGAATCTGAGGAAATGCAAAAGTTTTGGTCTGTACTGTAGTGTGGTAGAACTTCTTGACAGTGGTTTGTTATCAAGAAAAGTGATGGAAGCCCCAGGATACATCTAAAAATACTGGCAAACAGGCTGCATAAATGTGGACACTAAATGACTTCTTTCCATTCTCCTGATTTCAAACTTTCTCTAATATCAGACTTGTTCATATTAGTTATGCAACATGTGTAACAAATCCTAATGGCACAGAGTGCAAAAAACCACAAGAATTGGTAGTTGGAGCCTGTGGCTAAAAAAACACCAAAGTTTAATTTACCAATTAGCTAAAAAAACTACCAACACTTCTAATTTTTCAAAGAGATCTTGATTAAAGTTTGGTACTCACTTAACACTTGAATTTTTTTATAATAACAAAGTCAGGATATATAGTTTGATTTTAGTGTAGCTTCTGTCTGTTGGGTAAGAATCTTTCCTCATAGACAAGGAGCAGATGGTGGCTGTGGACTAACTTGTTATTTCTGTGTAAATACTAGCTTCTGAAGTAAAGGTTCCAAAACCAAGAGGGAGACCTAAGTTGGTGAAACCACCTTGTCTTTCCGAGAGTGACTCGTGAGTTGTTCTGTTTTGTTTCTTAATATAAAGCTTCTTCATTGTAAAACACGTTGTTCCTTGTGTTAAGACTTCATAATTAGCACTGAGTTCCTGACAGGTTTTTGCTTCTTTAGTATTCAGTATGAGTTACTGTTTGCTTTGCTGTTATTTACAGCTCAGGAAATTAATCATGGTAACTCAAGGTAGTACATTTCTGGAACAAGAGACGGAAGATCTTAACCTTCCTAACTTGTAAAATCTGTGCAAAATTCCTTCTATAATTGTATGCTGGGTGAAGAGGAAAATATATTTATTAAGAGAAGAGACAAGATCATGCAAAACTAAAATATTGCATTTTTTTACATTTTTGTTTCAGAAATCTCTTTTGATGGAATTCCAACACTATTTGTTACCTAAATTTTGGGTTTTCACCCTCTTCAGTTCTTATGTCCTTAGTGGTTCTCGTAACTGAAGGAGAAGTTGAGCGTCAGCATAGTGTTTTGTAGATTAGCAGATGCACAGTTTCAGTATATGTACACCTTAAGTATACTTCACAAAACTAGTTTACGGTGTATGCACTCTTGGTCCTGCAGACACGTGTGTGTGAAGAACTTCTGAGCATTAACTTTTTGGTTTTGGATCTATGCACGTATATTAATGTTAGCTTCATTAGGGCCTCCCTACTGTTATTTATTTCTCTTTTTGTATTGGTAGCGGGCTATAATTTTACAAAAAGACTGAGTATTTTTCAAGAGTCATTAAATGAACTGAGAGAGAATTAATTTCATAATTTTTAATATTCTGTGGTTAAAAAAAAATCAACTTCCTTAGAAGAATGTGATGTTTTAAATTCACTGTAGATAACAAATATGATGCCTTAATGCTGTTCATGTTTTAGTGTTAATGAGGAGGAGAAGGCAAAGAAAAAAGGACCAGAAGAAAAGCCCAAAAAGCAAGGGAAAAAAGATGAGGAAAGTCAGAAGGAAGAGGAGAAATCAAAGAAGGAATTTGACAAAAAGGAAGGAAAGAAAGAGGCTGAACCAAAAAGGAAAAATGCTGCAAAAGTGGGTTCTGCATCAGCTTCTGATTCTGAAGATGATGGAGAAGAACCAGAAGGTGACAAGGTATAATTTTGCTTTCCTGATATATTTATTACAGAGGCAAGTAGTATCACTGAAGATCATTCTTGAAGTTAATGCCAGATCTTAGTAAAGCTTGGAGCCCTGTGGCTGGCTAATACAGATATATAGAATAAAAGTTGCAGAAATTAATTTTGTCAATTCTTTCAGGAACTTCTTTGGTATTTTCTAAGAAAAGCATCTTTTCTAAGATACTTTTCGTTTTAACAAAGGATTTAAAGGTAGCAGTTATTTATTTTGTCTAAAGGCTTTTTCCATCTATGTTCCTCAGAACACAGACTTTTTTTCCTTGGTTGCGTCTAAGAGAACGTTTGGCTTGAAATCAAGTTTTTGAAAGGTATAAAGCTGTCCTAGCCAATCATTTGGAACCTCTTCATTTTTCTGGTGCTTAGGATATTTGCCTTCTATTAGAAAAGGAAAAAGGGAGAAAGGACTAAAGACATTCAGAACTTACCAACATGTGGAGGTCTTGCATTTAGTTGTGGGGAAAGCCAGCTCTTGTCAGGTTGTTCCATGGAGCAAAGTTGCTTCAGAGATACTTAATGTAGGTAGGTTTACCTGTTTACAGAAACAATGATTTAATAATCTTGCGTTTCAGTAATCTAAAGACTCCTTTTCTCTTTCCAATCCTAAAATCCTAAATAAAAACAGAAGAAAAAAGGGGGAAGAAGCTTTCAGGCAGCTAATAGAAGAAGCATTGTAAGAGGCCAACATGAGAGGGAAGTAACAGAAAGAAAGCGTAAGCAAGAAGAACAGACAGAATCTGAATCGTGAGTATGTTTTAACATGTGATGTCCACAAGCTGTAGGAGTATTCTGAAACAAACAGGAGGAGACAATATCCAAAAAATTCCAATCTGGTTTGCGCTGTGTTGTGTTGTTCTCTCCCCCCACCCTTTTTTTTGTCTATTTTAACTTCTTTTTAAGTGGAGAGTAAAAAGCTCCTCTAAACCAGTATGTCCTCTTGTGGGAGGATGGGAAGAATTGAACCTAGAAATTAAGCAATGTCAGTCTTTCAGTGACTTTAGAATTTCTAGCAGAAGACAGCTGGTGGGTTCTGTTAAGAAGTAACCTAAGAACATCCATGTGAAAAGGAATCGGTGTGAAAAACTGTTCAGGACAGCCATATATTTTTCTTTAAGTTTTGGATACATTAGATTGAGAACCGGTAGGACCTGTTAATCCATGGTTATGGATTTTTGATCAGGTTGTGGAATGTGTAGGGTTATCTGGAAAACATTTCCTTCTCTGTCTGGCAGCTGGAGCACATGCTGTCAGACAGAACAAGGAAAAAAGTAAGAATTATTCTACTCTAGCACTGCAAAGCCAGTTGAGAGATACCAAGAGCAGCCTGCATTTGGAAGATAAATTATCATAAATGAATCCAGCATAAGAATGGAGAGAAGATCCTGCCAGAAACTGGGGGGGTGGGACAATAGGAAGAAATCTGACTCACTCTCAAGAGCTGTACTGCAAATGGGGGAAGAAGCCGCCACCACGAGAGCATGATGTTCCCATCCCCACGGTTGGTGGGAGGGTGGAAGAAAGGGAGAACAAGGTAAAAATTTGGAGGAAAAGGAGGAGGAGGATAATGGTCCCCTTCACCCAATAATCACAAAATTCTACCTTTTTTCACATTCATTAACAAGAATCTAGTTTGTTTGGGGTTTTTTATCCTCTAGCCCTTTCTTCTCCTCTTCTTCCTGTCATTCCTTCTCTGGAAACCCAACATAATTACTCTACTTGCCTGTAGCAAACCTAAGCATTTCCAACTCCAGAGATGCTAAATTGTCCTTAGCATCTTTGCAGCTCTTGATATATCACTATTTACATCTGACACATGCTGATTGATTTCTGCAATCAAACTGTCATATATTGATTTGGTTATAATTAAATCGCTTCTACTTTTAAATAGCTGCCATATTTTACGCATTGGAGGGTAGGTAAAGCTTTATTTCAGTAAGATAAAGGAGTAGTAGTTAATGAATGCATAATGACTTTCATTATAGCTGATGACTAATAGCACAAAACTCAATATTGATAAGAAGTAAAAAAACTTTTTTGTTCTGTCTGTCTTCAAGTTCCCCTACTCATACACTGAATATAGGCTGATACCTTTTTCGGTTACTTTTCTCATCAGCATAGTTTCCATTTTCTGGTCTTTGTAGCATTAACATTTATTTAAGTCTAGGAACAGTGTACTACCGTTCTGTAGATATACAAAGTTTTCGTGTACTGTTTAAACAGCATGAGCTTGTGCTGCCAGTTGAAGTAAAATAGTCTTACATGCTTGAAAACTGTTGATTCTGTAACTAGATAGAGTATGAAAGGAACATGGAAGATGATGGACATGCAGGCATGGATATTTTATGGATGTGTATTACTATGACAGGAAGAAAATGAGTCACAGAATATTTAGTCATGATGTGCTGAAATAGGCAAATTCTAAAATGAGGCTTTGAAACCCCTCAGTAAGACAAGACTGAGGAACTGCTAAACAAGGGCTCATGATCTCTGAATATTCAAAAGCTTGTTCGAAAGACTTCTGCCTGTCTTCATCCTGTAACTGAGATGGAGACAAGTTTTGTTTTGTTTTTCTTGAGTCCCAGCATTATTTTTAGTGATACAATTAGAGAAAGAGCCAGGAGATTTCAGTGAAGTTGTAATAAATCTTTTTCCTTTATTACTATTTGCTTCAAGAATATTTAAATTATCACTGATACCTTTATGGTCAGTTGTAGGATACTTATACTGTTATAATTAATTATATGAGAAAATAAGTCACATAGAAACTGATTATGACTAATTGATCTCTCTGTAATTCCCCATGGTAATGTTAAATAGTTTTACTCTTTTTGTCATCATCATAAAAATATTTTATTTCTCCGTAAGTTAGTTCTGTACAATGCTATTTTACCAATTTGTACATGCAACCAAAACAAAATACAGTTTAGAAATGTGACTTGTTTTTAAAATCCTTTAATTTGCTGTTGGGAAAGCCATCTGCCAGTATGGAGGATTTATCAGCAGTATCTCAACTAACTAATTTTGAATTTATTTCTGTCTCTGAGAACCAGGGTTTGGCTCTTTGTGGCTTTTGCATGCTAGTGTTTTACTGAGGTAATACGTCAAACCATTGCATCTCATCTAAAAATTGGGGAAAAAAAAAGACTGAAAAACAGACTTTACAACATTGTAAAAACACTTTAACATTTTTGATAGGCAGAGTAAAGAAGAAGGCAAGAAAACAGAAGTTAAGAAGATGGAGAAGAAGAGAGGTTAGTTTAAAGAAGCTAAACAGTATTTTTGGTCATCTTAAATTTCGAACAGAATTATCTGCCTGGATAAGATAATTTACTTCTAAGAATGGCTTTGGGGTCTCAGTCCAAGGTGTTTGATCCATGGCTGCTTCCTTCAGGTCTGTGCAACAGGGCATTCTTGTTCTTCTATGTTCTTTCTTCAGTGCAGTAGAACAGGTCTTTGCTATTCCCTTTTTACTCAATGATCCCTTCTGTTTGTGAACAAGAAACAAAGCTCTTATTCTTTGAATCAAATCACTTTAGTTCTTACCTTCATTTTTTCCTTTCTGTCTTCTCATAACACAATAATAATCCAAGGGACCTCTTGAAAGTATTTAGATACTACCTCTTGCTAAGCAAGAGGCTTGCTCTTCCTAAGCAAGAGGCTTAGATTCAGATTACTGTGGTCTTGTCTACTAACCCAGACTTGCAAACTGACCTTCATAGGATAAGTCGTTCCTTTTTTAGTACTCCCATCCTTAAGGGCAATCCAAACCACTGGCTGTAATTTGTAGTATAGTACAGATCTAGTGGCATGGGCTCCAACCAACCCAGTGTTGGCAGAGGGGAAAAAAAAAGTATCCAAACCCATCCAAGACAGATTGAACTTGAAGGAAACTGTTTGTTTGCAGTAGTGTTCAGAATGCATACTACTTGTGTATGAAAAAATCCAAACAGGCATTCGGTGTGTGAATTGGAGACGGACATGTTCATTAATCTTGCACACCTGCTGGAGCATGTGTACTGCGAACATTTTGTTCGGATGGATTTGGACCTAACTTGAATAATGTCCAATTTACTGAAAACATCCAGGTGTCCTGTCATTAAAGGTTTTCCAGCTTTGTAACTCTTAGTATTTCTTGAAACTTCCTTTTAGCCTGGCCCACAAGTAGAGGGTGACAGCTGTATATTGAAGTAGAAAACTATTTTAAGTTTGTAACTCCTAAGGAGAAAACTATGTAGGTTGCTAATAGTGTCCAGTTTTAAAAAGCTGCGTACTTTATTTCTGACAGTAAGGTTTGTGGTGTATTTATGTGTGCACCTGCATGGTTATCTGATGTAGAATACCTGCCCATATTTTTCTGTATTCTGTATGAAGTTCAGATTTGTAGAAAGGTTTCTAGAAAAACAAACCTGTTGTGATTATGAAATATTCATGCATACTATTTTTAATCTTCAGAAACATCAATGGATTCTAGGCTTCAAAGGATACATGCAGAAATTAAGAACTCCCTGAAAATTGATAATCTTGTAAGTATTTTTTTTAAACCAGTTTATGTGTACAATTCCAGTAGGAAATACTTGGGGGGGTGGGGGGGTGTTTAATTAATATTCTAAGAATGAACAGAATTTTTTCAATTTGAAAGATAACTGCTGCTTAAATGAGGTTACTGTGGATACTAAAAGATCGATGTCAGCAAGTAAAATTGGTTTTGTTTGAAAATACTTCATAATAAATTATTTACCAGAAACATTCATCCCAAATTCTGTCAAATGAAGCATCTGTGCCAGCTCAGCCTGAGCCATGCAGAAGAAGGACATACTGAGTGTACTAGTGGCAGACTGCCTGATGCAAGGGAACGGGCACCAATGATACGGTCAGGGGAGACCTGCAAAGTATCAGGCGTGACCATATGACTCAGGGTGATGGTCAAGGTATGGGGACCCAGGTGGTGGTCCCTTTCTTGAGGAAGGGGCTTATGAAGGAATGGATATGATTGCTAGGAGGTGGCAGGATCCACCCACCTGATTGGGGCGAAAGTATTGCTGCCAAGAGGCTAGCCAGCCTGATAAAAGAGCTTTAAACTAGGAAGAGTAGTGGAGGGGAAGGTGAGGAAGTGGTGGAGCAGGATGGCAATCAAATGATGCAGGGTGATGTAAACAGAATTGGCTTTGTAATCAACATAATTCCTCAACAGAACAGGACTTAAGTGGCATCAGCACGAGCATATGCACAGAAATGAGGAAGTGCTGGCAACACAGCATTATGAGTAAAGCTCTCATAGCCTTTCTGGAAAGTCAGGACAACTGGGTGCCTCTCTGAAGTGACTGTACGCTAATGCACACAGCATGGGGAGCAAACCAGAGGAACTGGACATCTGTCTGCAGTTGCAGTTTCATTGGCATCACAGAGATTTGGTGGGATAGTTCACGGGGCTGGAGTGTTGCCGTGTACAGATACAGGCTCTTTAGAAAAGACGGGCACTGGGAGGGGGTAACTTAATGTGAAAGACCAGTGGGAATGTGTGGAGCTCTGCACTGGGACAGAGCTCAGCCAACTGAGAGCTTACGGGTCAGGATTAGTGGGCAGACAATATGGGCGATGTTGTGAGGATGTCTACTGCAGATCACCTGATCAAGCAGAAGTAAAGAATGAAGTCATCTTAAGGCAGTTGGGACACACCTCTGGTTCAAAGGCTCTGGTCCTCATTGGAGGCTTGAACCATCCTGGTATCTGCTGAAGGGACAACATGGAGAATCTGCAGCAGTCCAGGAAGCTTCTGGAGTATAACAGCTTCCCAACACAGGTGATCAAGCAGCTGACACGGGAATCAGGTGCTGTCAGACCTGATTCTTATGAACAGGGAAGATCTGGTCAGGGATATGAAGGTCACAGGCAACCTTGGCTGCAGTGACTGAGACCGTGGATTCAGGATCCTGGGAGGAGGGAGCAAGGCAAAAAGTATCACAGCCCTTGGCTCAGGAGAGCAGACTTTGGCCCCTACAGGGATCTGCTTGGAAGAATCCCTTAAGAGACCATGCTGGAGAGAAGAAGGAACCAGGAGATCTGGCTCACTTTTAAGGATTACCTCCTTCTCAAGATTGATCCATCTTGGCAAGCAGGAGAGCAACCAAATGTGGCAGGAGGGCTGCATGGATGAACAAGGAGCTCCTGACTATAGTCAGGACACAAAAAAAGGAAGCATACGGGAAGTGGAAGCAGGGACAGAAATATGCAGACACTGTCCAAGCGTGGAGGGATGTGCTTAGGAAAGCCAAAACCCACCTGGAGTTAAATCTGTGGAGAGGAATGAAGGACAACAAACCTTCTTCAAGTACCTCACCAGCAACAGGAAGACTGGGTAAGTATGGGCCTTTCTGCTGAACGGGATGGGGGATCTAGTGAAAAAGGATAAGGAGAAGGCCAAGGTATTCGATGCCTTCTTGACGTCAGTTTGCTCATACAGTTCCTTTAAGGAATCCCAGGTCCCTGAGACCAACAAAAAGTCCAGAACAGGAAAGACTTGATGCTCAGTGGACAAGGATCAAATTAGGGAATATTTAAATGAAGTGGGACCTGATGCAGAATAAACCGAAGAGTGCTGAGGGATGTCATTGTGCATCCACTCCGTTTTATTTTTGAAAAGTCACAGTGATTAGGGGGAAGCTCCCAAGGACTGGAAGAAAGCAAATGTCACCCTCATCTTCCAGAAGAAGGATCTCGGAAACTGTGGGCCAGTCAGCCTTGCATCAATCTCTTGGGAGGTAATGGAGCAAATCCTCCTGGAAACCGTTTCCAATAATATGAGGGATAGTAAGGTCTCTGGGAGTTGTCAGCATGGGTTAATGAAGAGGAAATCACGCTTGACCGAACTGACATCCTTCTGTGAGGTGACTGGCTTGGTGGATGAGGGATAGCAGTGGATGTTGCTTATATTAAGTTTAAAAAGGCTTTTGACACTGTGTGTCGTAACAGCCTCATAGACAAACTGATGAAGTCTGGACTAAACAAGTGGGTAGCAAGGTGGACTGAAAACTGGCTGAACTGCAGGGCACGAAAGGCTCCCATCAGTGGCAGTGAGTCCAGCTAAAGGCCAGTCACTAGTAGTCAATACTGTTAAAACATCTTCATTAATGACTGGGATGATGGGACAAACCACACCCCTAGCAAGTCTGCAGATGATACAAAACTGAAAAGAAAAATTTGATGGGTGTGCTGCCATCCAGAGGGACTTGGACAGGCTGGAGAAATGGGCCATCAGGAACTTCATGAAGTTCAGCAGAGGTTCAAGTTCTGCCTGTGGGGAGGAATAACCCCATGCACCAGCACGGGCTGGGGACTGACTGGATGGAGAGCAGCCTGTCAGAAAATGCCCTGGAGGTGCTGGTGGACATCAAGCTTACCATAAGTCAGCAGTGTGCTCTTGTGGCAAAGGTGGCCAACAGCCTCCTGGCCTGCATTAGAGAGTTGCCATAACATGGAAGGATGTGTGATGACTGCCCTTTACTTGGCACTGGTGAGACACTGGATCCTGTTTTGGGCTCCCCAGTACAATAGAGACATGGACATATGGCAAGGAGTCCAATAAAGGGCCACAAAGATGAATTGCAGGCTTGGAGCATCCCAGAGAGAGCTGGGTGTGTTCAGCCTGGAGAAGAGAAGGCTGAGAGGGGGATCTTTTCCATGTGTGTAAATACCTGAATGGAGGAAAGATGACAGAGCCAGGTTCTTCTCGGTGAAAGGACAAGAGGCAGTGAACGCTGATGTCAATACAGGAAATATTGCTTAAACATCAGAAAAAGCTTTTTTACAGTGAGGGTCGTCAAGCACTCACATATGTTCACCTAAATTGTTACACCTTGGAATCCACTGTTAAGGTTGGGCAGTGAAAACACACATAGGGAAGGACTAGAGCTGTATCTTTTTTTTAAGTCTATTTTAATTTCTGTGCCTTTGGTGCTTTAGAACAATACTACCAGTTTTTTGAATTTGAGGTTATTTGTGGTTTTGTTGGTTTTGTTTTGTTTTTTCTCTAACTGAAATTTCAAATCATGAGACCAGACCAAAAATACTTTACCAGTCTCTCTCTTATTTGAAGTTCTAGAGGAGATGCAAATCTTCAACAGTCCATTTCCATTTACACAACTGAAAAAGCAAGTAAAGGGCTTCATTCCATTTCTGCCTTTATCTACTGCTGAAGACAAGAAAATTCTTGCTACCACTATTAACTGGCCAAGGAGAGGTGTGAGAGGAACATCAGTTTGAGGACTTTCCCTAACTGGTTGCATGGTCTTTTTGGACTACCATTGCATGGACGGTGCTGAAAGGGATTCAGCCTTTGGTTTAGTATCTTCATTTTGAGAGTGCTGTTTGTACAGTGAGACAATATGGGTGTCAGTGAAGGAGCATGGTAGTATGAGAAGCAGCAAGCTGCTCCGACTCAGGAACTGGGTGTAGTGTTGGGTGTCGGAGGCAAGGTTCTGGTCGTGGGGGCAGGGGACTGTCCCATGCCAGACATGGCTGGCTCCAGTGGACCCACCGCAGGGCACGGCTGAGCCCCTCAGCCAAGCTGGCGGCCCCTCTGTGAAAACTTATTTAAGAAAGGGCAAAACACCCTGGGCAGAGAGAGGAGGAGAGGAGAGTGAGAAACAGCAGAGGGAACACCAAGGTCAGAGAAGAAGGGAGGAGGTGCTCCATGTTGCTGGAGCAGGTGTTCCCCTGCAGCCTGTGGAAGAAGACCACGAAGGACCAGATGTTCACGGTGTGGCCTGTGGAGAGCCCATGCTGGAGATTTCTCCTGAAGGACTGCAGCCTGGGGGGAAAGCCCAAGCTGGAGCAGAGGAGAATGTGAGAGGGAAGGACCTGCAGAGGGGAACTGTGATGTACTGACTGTCTGCCACCACTGCACTGCTTGGGGGTGGGCTGGGGAGGGGAGTCCGGAATGAAGTTGAGCATGGGAGACGGGGGAAGGAAAAGTGTTGATTTAATGTTTGTCTTTGTTTCTTATGACCCAAATCTATTTTAATTGGTAATAAATTAATTTTCCCCAAGAAGAATCTGTTGGTGCCCATGACAGTAACTGGTGAGCGATCTCCCTGTCTGTCTTGACCCATGAGATTTCTCATCCTATTTTCTCCCCCTGCAGTGCTGAGGAGGGAGAGGTGAGTGGCTGGCTGGGCATCTGGCTGCTGGCCAAGGCTAACCCACCACAGTGTTAAATAAGAAACATTCATTTCCAGTGTGGCCTATTCTTAAATTATTTTATTTAAGTCTATGCCAATACTTTGTCTCAAAAAAATAGTTCACCTTAAATAAAATTTAGAAAGCTTTTACTTCACAACTTAGTGGTTTGGCTTAAAGAAATCACTCTGTTCTGAGCCAGATAGTAAATTCCCCTGAAATAATAAGGAAAAAACAAAACCAGAAAACCCCAAACCCTCACCAAACCTCTGATTCAGAGGTGTAATGGAGCAAATACCTTGCAGTACTGGGAAGAACATTGGTTGTAGAGCTACAGCAAGGACACATAGTTTAGCATAATTGTATTTTTCAAGTAAAGATGATAAGAATTCTGCTGAGGATAGTCCTGATGTGTTTGTTTGGGGTTTTTAATACTAATTTCCCTTGAGAACAGGAGCTACAACTTTATACAAGTGCAGAATATTATTATGACCTGTGCTGGATATGGATCTTGTTAGTTCTATATAGGAATTAAAATAACCAAGGGTAGCTGAAGATAAGGAAATTGAGAACTAAGTATTACAGGAAGAAGGCTTTAATACAGTGGTTCTTAGAAATGGATCAGAAGCTCACATCATTACTTCTGGGTGTCCTGCATAGTGTGTAATTCATTAAACTTTTAATTGAAAAATCTAGAGAGATACAGTTCTGTATATTAACTGCAGTTCGCTTAAGATGCTTTGCTGCCTTCTCAGTGGCAAGTCACTTGGGAAGAATTGTGTATGGAAAACGCTGACTATGGAGAACAGCTTCAAGTACTAGAATTGTGAAAGTGGCATAAAGCTTGAGTTTGTATTTTGAAAGTATAAAGTAATTTTTTTAAATTGTAAGTTATTCAAACAGGATCTGCCTTTTGTTATGGAAGTAGCTGAAAGGCAACTGATAGTAATCTTTGTTTGCAAGTTTGACTGTATAAATTGTTCCAAAATTAAGTACATAGAAGAATTAAGGAAATTATAGGAAGGTATCACTAAGCATGGAAATTAATTTAGTGTGGCTAATTAAGGACTATTAACATATAAGTTAAGTCTTCAAACTAATGTCTTGTTTATATGCAGGATGTGAACAGGTGTATTGAGGCTCTTGATGAGCTTGCATCCCTTCAAGTCACAATGCAACAAGCTCAGAAACATACAGAGATGATTCTGACTCTAAAGAAGGTGAGATCTGCAACATTACTCAAAGTAACTTGTGTGCTTTCTTAAATTGCTATCAGCATCGTTTACTCCTGTGTCCAGTTCTGGTCCCTACAATTCAAGAACGATGCGGACAGACTGGAGGGGGTCCAAAGGAGGGCCATGAAGATGATGAAAGGGCTGGAGAACCTGCCCTATGAGGAAACACTGAAGGAATTGGGTCTTTTCTTCCTGGAGAAGTCTTGGGGGGGGGGGGGGGAACCCACCCCTAGACGAGTTTAAGAGTTGCACTGGAGAGATTTCATCTTGATATAAAAAAAGAAACTTTTCAACCAAGGACAATTGTTCACTGGAACGGCCTCCCCAGGAATGTAGTGGAGTCCCCATCACTGGAGGTTTTCAAGATGTGATTGGACAGGATGCTCGATAACCTCATCCAGGCTCCCTTTCTCACAGAGGGTTGGACCAGATGATTTTTCAAGGTCCCTTCCAACCTGGGCTGTTCTGTGATTCTGTGGTGCTTCAGGGAGTGTAAAAGTCTATGATCTCATTTCAGGTGTTAAATTAAGAATTTCATCTAGCACGTGATGAAATTACATAGGTATTTAAATACCTAAGTGGAGCTCATTGTTTTATTACTTTGATTTCAGATACGGAAGTTCAAAGTTAGCCAAGTTATCATGGAGAAATCTACAATGCTATATAACAAGTTCAAGACCATGTTTCTGGTTGGGGAAGGAGATTCTGTTCTTTCCCAAGTACTAAATAAATCACTTGCTGAGCAGAAGCAGCACGAGGAAGCCAACAAAACCAAAGAACAGTGGAAGAAAGGAACAAACAAGAAAATGGAAAAGGACCAAACAGGTAAGTCATTGTGTTTTTAGCTTCTTGTCATACAGAAGACCTAGTCTCTATCAATTTCTAAGCCAGCTTAAAAAAAAATCCTTGATACAGGAGTTCTACATATCTGTTAAAACCTTTACGTATCTGAAATAGTCAAGGATAATACTGCTATAACTGAATTTCAAGTTCAAGGGTATAGAGTTTTTTCTATGGCTATTTTACCTTTATTGCCTGAAGGGAAAGGCTTTTGGAAGAACTGAGTTTAGCATTTTTTTACTTCTCTGTAAATTTTCTAACTTCATTACCTTATGGAATAAAAAAAACATTAAACATGAGGTAGAATAACATATTACCTACCTTCCATTCCTCAAGTAGCCTTTTGGTGCCTAGACTTCCACCTATGCTTAAGTTCCTTCACTACCCCCTTCCTGTATCATGCATGCTATGTGTAGCAGCAGCTTTTAACCGCTTCTGTGATGCAGCTTTAGTAGTTCAGCCTAACAGTAAGGAAATAATCATCATTTAGAGGAGAAAAGGCCTTTGTGCTCTTAGCAGTACTATTCCAGATTAATTATGACTGCTTGTACAAGTACAGCATGGTACTGAAAGCCTTCCAAAAGAAAGAAATGGTAGTAAAATAGATGCATGCATTTTTAAATAGAGGAACAAAATGAGACAGACACTGGAAAGCTGTGTTGCAAATGAATTTCAGTCCTTGAAGATGTAGGAGTTCTGCCCATCTGTTGAAATTATGTAGATCCTTGATCTCCACAACCACTGGAGAGAAATTATATTTACTTTGAACTTGAATCCGGGGAGCAAAACTGTTTCAGGAAACTGTTTGGAAGTTACACCACCTGGATCTGGAATAAACAAGTTACTGTAGCGGAGGTAATTCAGGATGCCAAGGATTCAGAATAACTGTAGTTGAAATGCCAGTGTATTTGTAACTGCTAAGAAAACAAGGATGATGATAAACTCCAACCATTTTATGGTGAGAGAAGTATGTAGGGTGTAGTAGAGGCTCCACACAGATCTTTCCCCAATCCAGTGATCAGCACAGCTAACATATTAACAAAGAATTTAAACTGAAGACTTCCTACACATAGAATAGTCTGACCAATGAAGCTACTCCAGATAAGGCTAACACGAGACTTCCAACAGAACACACTGAAATACCATATTGTTGCCCAGTCAAATGGAGAATGGTAAGAAGTTTTATCGGAGTAGGGGAATATTATGAAATAATAGTGGATTTTTTGTTATTTGCTACAAAGAGAAGTTCTGGTTCCTTACGTTCATACTTCTGCCCTTTTAAAAACTGAACTATTACTAGCTTTATGAAGCACAACAATTACAGCAGTTTGTACTTCAGCTGAAGTACAGCTTCAGACTATCTATTTTGTAACAAGGGACTATAGCATTAATTGTTCCATTGAATTCTTCCCATGGCATTCAAGTTCAGAACTGATTCTGAGCAAGTCTAGACTAGAATATCACCTTAAAATTATCTTGTCTGCTTTTTAGCATCTCTTAGCCTGTAAGTATTCTGATGAGTAATGTCTTGGTATTTTTGTCTTCCTGTAGCACCGTAGTTTAATAGAGGGGTTTTTTTGGTAAACCTGTAACTTCAAATAAAATGGACTGTCAGTTCTGACTTAAAGTGACATTCCTCAACACTTCACTCAGAATTCACTGGCTTGTAATACCAGAGCAAAACATGTATTCATTACATGTCAAGCTTTGTTTTCCTGCTTGACAATTGCATGCTATAACTAAACATTTTTACTCTATTTATATCTACTATTTGTCATAATTTTTATTATATACGTATTTGTTAGAGTTGAGAGTAAACGAGAATCCATGGAACTAATAACATCCAGTTAAAAGTATCAGAAATCTCCCCAAATTGTCTGACCACGTTAGAGTGGTAAACTGAATTTACTCCTGAAGTATATTCTCTCACTGCTCAGAATATAAATCAGCATTAGTCCTACTATCTATAGTGTAGCAAGCACAAGAAGAACTTGAAATCTCATTAAATACATACACTGCTCATTTCCCATTATTAAAATCATGGGATGAGACTCGTTGCATGGAATTTTCAGAAGTTGAAGCTGTTCCAGTTACTGCTTTTTGTATTGTTTCAACTGCTGGGTATCAAGGTGAGGAGAAAACATTTAGAGTGCTTGAGTTGATGAAGGTAAAGAAATTATTTGGGCCTTTTTTATAGCACAGCTTTGCTGCCTGCAGTACTGTTTTCTTTCCCTGCCCTTTCATTTTAAAGGTTCAAAGGTTCTGAATGGAGGGTCTGAAGCTCAAGATACGAACCAGTCGCAACACAATGGAGAGGACACTGAGGAAAAGAAAGATAAGCATGAAGTTGGCAATAAGAAAAAGTGAGTTAATAACCTTACTGAACTAAGGAGCCATTCTGCTCTAGCAAAATGATATAAATAGAACAGCAGTAGATTGAAGTTACTTAACCAACTTTAGGTACTGTTTTCTTTACAGAGTTTTCTCTCAACTTTAGAGAATGATAATAGCATGCAAATGGTCTGTTAAAGTTTTGAATGAACATTTTAAAAGTTACTTTGCTCACTGCTATAGTGGAGACCAAAAGAAAACAAATTACGGGATGTCCTGTTAGGAGAAAATCAGCATGTGGCAAGACAGGGCAAAGTATGAGCTTTCTCCTATGTTATAGACTATTCTATGCTATTAAGTTGGAAGCAAAGGAAGCCTGAACCAGGTCTTGCAGAAACTCATGGGATTTCTCAAGTTGTTTGTGAAATCATGTATTCTAACCAGTAGCTTTAATTAATGTTCTGTAGTGTAGCTGTAGAATTGCCCAAATGCAGGTAGACTCCAGGCTAGAACGTAGACCTGTGACGTTTCAGAACTCTGAATGCTTTATAGAGGATGATGCATTTACCTTTTCCAAACAAGAATTCATAAGAATGCTTGAATTTGTCAGAAGGTAAGTATTTAAACCTTAGCCTCACTGAAAAATGCTGTTTCGTAAACAAAAACAACAGCAGTGAATCTCTTGTCGAATATGAGAAATACTTAATAGAATTCAGTAAACGATGAGGAAAAGGCCTAGAATTATCCTTGAGCTGAATTGTTTTGTTGCAGTTCCCCTTTGTTTTCTCCGAGCACTTCTGCACCTTGTGCTCAGGGATTCTTTTTGTCCAGCAGTATGTATTGAAGAAAGCTTTCCTTTCATCACTGTCTTCAGGCAGGCCAGGAGAAACTGCAGTTGCCTGGCATGCTTTTGGCTGTCTGCCAAGTTAAAACTGTACAAATGAGTGGAATATTGACTGTTATTTACAAGGTCAACTTAAACAGAACAAAACCAAAAAACCCCTTAAGATGAAAATGAATTAGGTATTTGCTGAGAACTAGTGGCTTCTGATCACGCAGCTTTCAGAAGTGACATTTGGGAGTTTTCAGCCAGTGATGCCAAATACTCATTCGGTCTGAACAAGCAGCATGTTAGAGGGACACAACGAAGGCACAAGCGTGGGTTCTTCACACAGGTTACACAGCCTAGCATGCTGCTTAAATAGGTGATTTGGCCAAATCAGGGTATGGTCCTGACAAAGTGCAACACCTGAGTTACCCGAGATCAATGGCAAGGCAGTTCAGTAATAACAGAATATACTTAGCCAAGTATTTAAAAATAAACTACTACTAAACTGGTCCTCCAAGGTAGAATTTTTTTCACGGCCTGCTGCTTTCCTTGTTTCTGCAGAACCTAACAACGCTTGGATTTTTGTGTGAGAGAGAGAGAGAGACAGTCTCAGTCAGATCGCCCTTTGTATTTGTGATTAAAAGAATTAAGAATATTTGGGCGCATGCATGAAACTTCAATGGACACTGGTCAAAAGAAACTTAAGGCAGATACTTTAGATAGTTATGCAATATGCCTGGAAAAGGCTCTTGACTATAGTGTCTCAAAGTAACTTTGAGGCAAGACAATTTATATTTTTAATACTTCAGTAATCGTGATTGTATCTGTAAAACTTGCAAATATATCTTCCGCGGATGCGCTAGTGGGGGTTTCATGTTCTGGTAATAAACATTTATCTCTTTAAGTGTCTGTGGTGTTTGCTGTGGCCTTGAACCCTACACTCCAATGCGTTCTTTGACTTGCCCGAACCCCTTACTATGCTGCTAATATCTCTTTTTCAGTTGGAGCATAGCCAGCCTCAGATCCTCTGTATCCCCGACTCCAAAACCCTAGGGGTCGACCAGGAGAAACTGCAGTTGCCTGGCATGCTTTTGGCTGTCTGCCAAGTTAAAACTGTACAAATGAGTGGAATATTGACTGTTATCTACAAGGTCAACTTAAACAGAACAAAACCAAAAAACCCCTTAAGATGAAAATGAATTAGGTATTTGCTGAGAACTAGTGGCTTCTGATCACGCAGCTTTCAGAAGTGACATTTGGGAGTTTTCAGCCAGTGATGCCAAATACTCATTCGGTCTGAACAAGCAGCATGTTAGAGGGACACAACGAAGGCACAAGCGTGGGTTCTTCACACAGGTTACACAGCCTAGCATGCTGCTTAAATAGGTGATTTGGCCAAATCAGGGTATGGTCCTGACAAAGTGCAACACCTGAGTTACCCGAGATCAATGGCAAGGCAGTTCAGTAATAACAGAATATACTTAGCCAAGTATTTAAAAATAAACTACTACTAAACTGGTCCTCCAAGGTAGAATTTTTTTCACGGCCTGCTGCTTTCCTTGTTTCTGCAGAACCTAACAACGCTTGGATTTTTGTGTGAGAGAGAGAGAGAGACAGTCTCAGTCAGATCGCCCTTTGTATTTGTGATTAAAAGAATTAAGAATATTTGGGCGCATGCATGAAACTTCAATGGACACTGGTCAAAAGAAACTTAAGGCAGATACTTTAGATAGTTATGCAATATGCCTGGAAAAGGCTCTTGACTATAGTGTCTCAAAGTAACTTTGAGGCAAGACAATTTATATTTTTAATACTTCAGTAATCGTGATTGTATCTGTAAAACTTGCAAATATATCTTCCGCGGATGCGCTAGTGGGGGTTTCATGTTCTGGTAATAAACATTTATCTCTTTAAGTGTCTGTGGTGTTTGCTGTGGCCTTGAACCCTACACTCCAATGCGTTCTTTGACTTGCCTTAAACAAAGAAACAAACCCACTTTACAAGAACACTTGTATGGCTACTTGGGAGCAGTTTCTGTGGACTTAGACTCATTGTTTGCTAACAGCTATAAACCAGATTTTGTAGCACCTCTTGCAAGTACCTGGCATGTGGAGAAATGCATCCACCTACCTGTTGTAAATCCAAGGAAGCTACAGAGTGGTGTCTCTCCATCATACAAACTTCCTTTCATTCAGTATTTTTCATATGTTATTTGCAGTATTCAGTTTTTTAGAAGCGAGGAACTAGTAAGCAAAGTAAGTATGAACAAATCATCAATGTTCAAAACACCCCTGCAGTTCCCACTACTGACTCTTAAGCAAATAATTTGTAAACCTCTACAGTCACAGGGCGCTCTGTTCAGTTCTGGACTTACTCCCTTTGATAATTAGAGCCGTGACATGTCCCTACCTTTCTGAAGATTGTAAGTCAAAAATTTTGGAAGACAAAAGTTGCATAACTTAATACTTCGAAGTGATTGGCACGTAAGAACATCCTTCTGTTCTCGTTTGGGAAAAATACATACTGCTTCCTGCGGTTACCTTAGTGTTTGGGACACATAGTGGATTATTGCTGGCTACTAAGAAAAGTTACCGTTGGTAAGATAGGTGAAGCCGGAGTGCTTTTCCACCTGAGCTGACACTTGTGTGGCAGCAGACGGGGGAGGACTGCCTGACTGGACCACAGGCCACTTGTGAATGACTGCCGCTTGCAGCCAGTCGCATACATCAGCCTGATGTTAGTCGCTGCTAGCTTAGCTTCACGTTTGGGGGCCATCAGCGTGACAGAGAAGATGGCCCGCTTGTATCACTGCCTGCTTCAGTTCTCCTGACTTCATCTCCTGCTCAGCATACATCAGCATCACATACTCTAGACTGTACAAATACGTCTGGAATAAGTCTGCTTTCTGCATTTTTATATGGTCATTAATGTTGCTTTCTTTTGTTTCTAGGACATGTGGTGAAGAGAGGGAACTCGAAAAGCCAGCAAAAGATTCTGCCTTTGAAAGCAAATGACATCACTGGAGTCTTTTTTTTTAAATACAGATTAAAGAGGATTGTTAAGTTTTGCATTTGAAATCTATAGACTGCTGAAAGTTTTAAATAATTTTATAAGCATAGTATTTTAAAGTTAAATTTTGTGGACTAAAAGCCCCCTTTAATCTTGGTTTAAAAGTATTTAGACACTTTTGCCAATAGTTTTGTCCAGTATTAACAGGTAACACATTTCAAAAGATGAAAATTCCAGTTAGAAAACATATGCTTACATGTTACAGGACTTAGAGTTGTAGTATATTTTTATCTGACTGCTGTATGTTTGTCTAGCTAATAGCAGGAAAAAGTGTAAATACTTTTAACTGCCTAATTGCTTCATTTGTATAAAACCTCCTCCTTTCCGATGATACTGACCTCTGTTTGTGCATAGTTTTTCAGCCCTTGTTGGGATGTCTTTTCACTGTGTTTTGTAGGAGTTGGAAGCAGCGTTTTTATAGCTGTTGCAATGTCAATGTACGAGTATACTTAATCACTTTTTTAAAACAAGTTTAGTTCTGTTCTTGCAAAACTCATTGTGCCAATTTACTGCCATGTGACTTTATGGTATGCTTTTGGTATAATAAGTATACTAGAAAGAAATCTATTGCTTTCACTGAACCTGTTGATGCACACTGGTTGGAAAACACTGTCTTGAACGATTTTCATGAAAGTAAAGAATTTAAACTGATGAAGAAAGACTGGTTCTTAATAGAAACTTGTATAGACTAAAACATTTCTAGGAACAAGTGTCTGGGTTTAGTACTATTTCAGTTTTATTGCCTTGGCATTAACTTGGGGATTTCTAACTTGAGTTTTGACAGAAACACTGGTAAAGTATTCCAAGAAAAGTTCCTAAAGGCATAAAAGGGAATGAAACATACACAAGCTCCTCTGAAAATTCTTTCTTGAAACACACCTTTTGCCTAATGTCAGAACTAGGAACAACTTCTGTGCGACTGGATTTCTCACCAGCCAGGTGAGAAATCGGAGTTTAACAGTCCTAAGAGTCTCGTTAGGGGATAACAGGGAAGGTGGCAGTGTTCTGGGTGCACGTACCACCTCGCATTGTGTCACCTTCAAGGCAGCAACAGAAAAACATGATTACAGCCTCGTGCAGACCAGTACTTCTGAAGCTTTAACTCACACCATTCAAGAAAGAAGCGTTTTCAGGATTGCAGCATGACCAAAACAGCATGGTATCAAATACTGAAAAGTCAAATTATTTCTTGTTTACATGCCTTGTAAATTGCTGCCATGCCTGCTTCAGTCAGCCCACCTGGCTTTTTTGTTGTTCTTTTGTTCTTGCCCAGGATAGCAGAGAGAGAAGGGACTTCTGCTCATATATGAAACAAGGCACACAGCCTTTTCCCCATTTCAAGTTCAGCAACTGGGTGCAATCTTTACTTCTGTTTGCAGTTCTGCTCTTACAGTAATGCTAAGCAGCTAGATACTCAGGAATCACAAAACGCAACTTCAGCACTCGGTGTGTCACCATCAGGTGAAGGTCCAGTAACTTTTCAAACTTCCCTGTTTTCCAGAATCAAAAAGTGACAGATGTATCTTGACTAACGCTTTTTTTTCACTGAAATCGTGCACTACTGTGAAGTAACTGCTCCTTATTCTCCATACCCTAATTCTGAAGAGATGAAAACTTTTCTTCCTGAGCACTGCTGTTTTGCTGCCATTTTTTTTTCCTTTCTTCGTAACAGACTAGAATAGTAAACTGCGTAATAGTTTTAGGATCACAGCCCTCATCTCCCCTTCTCTTTACTTGCACGGTTTAAATAACAACAAAGAAATCCTCACTAGTGACCAGAGGCACAGGAAAAAAAAATGAAAAGCCTGAAATCAGAACTCTCGTATCTGATACTGGCATTACATTTATTGTGTGCAGAACTGCTATTCAGTCATCTTTGCTAGCTTGCACTAGTTACCGTTTTCTTTATATAACTTTGCCAGAACCCATCAGGGTGAGTGGTTTTCCGTTGCTAAAAATTCCACTCCTTCAGAGGCCGTGTGTGCAACTCAGTACACATAAGCTGCTGCGAACGCCTGTGTGAAGGGGCTTCACCAACTTTTATCTGTCCATTTACATAGTGGTACACCTAGATGATGTTAACTGCTTCTATAGGTTGTCCTTAACCGGAATCCATTACGTTTATTTTTGGTCTCAGTAATCTGTAAATTAGCTGTAATGTTAAGATGATGCAGGATTATAGGTTTGGTAATGTAGAAAAGCCAACAAAAGAATACTTCTTTCAACATTCAACAACACTGCTGGCCGGCAGCTCAATTTATGGAGCCTGTTTTGCTGCATTTGTGCAGCAGACGACATATTGGAATACACTTCATGTTTTCTAAAGAATTCTTCACTATATTCAGTACTTTTAAGTTTTACAGATGCAAGGATATTTACCGTTCCTTACCACTCCGCTATCATTTATGTCAGTGGATAAAAAGCACATGCACGCGTATGCACCTGTACCGACCTTAACAAAAACACGACTCGTGTGCCTATTTACAAAATGGTACTATTATTTCCACTCTACCTTCCTGCCCAAAGTCGCGAGCAGCCTAAAACTCTCTCAGTTCTCTCTTCCCAGCTCTATCAACCAAAGGGGGAAAGAGCTGTGCAGAGTGCCTGGGGGAAGGCCTCTACCTTGCTGCTCAAAGAAGCACGCTCGTCAGTGACTTCTTCCACAAAACGCAGTGGCTCTCCGTTGCAGTAGCACTTTGTCGTAACACGCTGGCTGCCTTGGGAAATTAAAGTATCAAGCCACAGGCATTTAGAAAGGTTCATAATTAAATATTGAAGCCTGCATTTACAGAGCAGAATCCATTCACATGATTACTGGAAGTTAAAACAGCATGGGAAGAAGTTTTAGTTTGCAGCAATATGGTTAAGATTTTGAATACAGCAATCTCCTCCCACACAAAGGTAGAAACACGCAAGTAGTTACAAAACTAAATGCTAAAATTGCTTGCAAAGCTTTTCAACGTGCATAATGAATATGTACTGCTGTAATGAAACGGAATGTGTTTATTCAGTGTTTTCAAAACCGAACCGCTTTCAGATCTTGAAGACGGTATCTCAGGCGAAACCTGGAAGTTCAGTAGCCATGGCAGCTCCCAGTACGAAATTGTCCTTGGCAGATGGTCATGGTGTTTGGCCTCCACAGATCTTGAGTTTCGGCAACCTCTAGCGCTTCACAACAGACTGCTGTTAAGGGGAGCGACTAACATGGCCATACAGCTGGACCGTCAGACAGCAGCATTCTCATTCAGCTTCCAAGGACAGGTAGTTACTGCACACTGCAATCTGCCTGTCTACATACAGCTAGTCACAAGGTGTATTTTATTGCCTTAGGAAACTAAAACAACTTCAGCTTTCACCCTCGAAAGTGTTTCTGTAAAGATGTTAACTCAAAATAAATGGGAATTTTCACACAAGCACTTCCTGATTTTGACCATTTTTTTGCATCGAAACCCCTTTTACCAAAAAGAAGAGGTACTGTGTATTCCACAAGTATGTCAAATCCACCTTGTTTTCACACGAGTGTTCATGAGCTAACACACATCTGCCCTTTGCAACTGTTCAGAGATAATGGGCCAACCATGCCACTACTTCAGAGGGTTAACTGAGATGACGCTCCCCTGATTGCATGCTGCAAGTCACTAAAGTCATGCTGTATCCATTCAGCTGCTTGGGCTTTCACTGCCTGAATTTACTGCCCGCTTACAAACCAGAAGTAACCTAAATTCACAGAATCTCACTGACTGGAGAAAGGGTCCTTTCCACCTTGCAAGACGCCTGGGTACCCATGAGCTGTGTCTCGAGAGACAGAATTCCTGAGAGCTGAGAACTGACTAGGCAGTCCAACTTCTTCAGTCTCCCAAGGAATAAGGCTGATCATTTTTGCAGAAAGGAAACAAACCACAGTTAATGCACGAAATGTAAAGCAGAGTTAGCTTTGACTAGTAGCATCCCTACTTCCAGAGTCAAGTTTACGACAGCTTAAAATACCGTGCAGCCCTGTTGAGTTGCTCATCATTCAAGGGGCTGTTGTGGTAGTGTCACAAGTGCCCAGCTAGCAGCGGAAAGCGACACTGTATGAATCACGTTTTGCGTTGGAACTTTACACCAACACTAAAATCAGAGGGGCCTCTCCTCTTCTTCAAGACAAGAAACAGCGTTCTGTATCGCTGTCTTGCCAGCAAGGCAAAAACCTTCATCAGGGAGAGAATCTCCAAGACCTTCTGGAAGCTTGAAATAAGTCATAAAGGGCTCATACTGCCAAATCACTAAGCGTTTAAAAAAGATCAAAGCAAAAAGCCAACCACAGATTCAGGTTAAGGATTTTCAGGTTCAACTACACTTTTTAATACTCTAGCCTTCTTGCTTCCCCTGGCAAGTACAGACACAAGTCTTTGCATGTCAGC